TTCTGGGCCTCCATTCCAGAATGCAGAATCAGAATTTCTAGTCCCAGGAAATACATATTTTAACAAGTTCTCTATAAAAGAGAGGAGTCCGTGTACAACATCTGAAATTCTCCAAAGGCAAGTGATTTATTAATTTTTTATGATGATTATGACAACAATGGTTGCAAGAATCTTTACAATAATAAGTTAAAAGTGAAAGCTATGCATATTTTTACTTTTCACTTTAAGTATCACCAATTTTCTAATTTTAAATGCAGTAACATCTATACCCAGTTCCTTTTTCCTTTTGCTCTTTCAAGTAACTTCTGATGCAATATTTCTCCAATTCCATTTTGAAATGTCTGGACTATTTCTGCAGTTTTCTTATATTCCTCTTCATTTGCAAATGGCTTTACTATAAAGAAAAAAATATGTATTAAGTTATTTAGATATTCCAATACTAGCAACCCACCTCAATTATTATTGCTTTCACAATCTTGAGACTTACTTACAGAAAACAATTAATGGTTTTATTAAATATGAGATCCAAGTATTAAATTATAATAGTTTACTACATGAAAATTAGTAGAATTTGCTCAAAAAAGAAACTAGAATTTTCAGGTAATATGAGAAAAAGAAATTACAAAATATCAGTTAACATGAAGCGAATGCATACATTTCTTGTTTCTAGAAAATAAAATGATAATAAAGTATTAAAGGTATAAACCCACATGGATAAAGAAAATGAAAGAACAGTGGATAGCAGACAAGTTAAACTAGTGTTTGGTCAACTAAAAAAAGCATGAGAAAATGGCCTTTGACTTTGCAGATCTGGAGTGTGGAAGATAGTGGGAGAAAAGGTAGAGTAAAGCAGAAATCAGGAAGCAAATTCATTTCCCAGTGCAATACCAGAGAGATTCATGGCACATGAAGTTCAAAAGGCAGGGGGTAAGGTGAGGTCAAAAACAAGAGGACTGTGTAGAAGCCTTTAGAAGCAAAAGTCAGGCAACTATCCAGCCACACAAACTCCTACAGAGCTCCTTTGCCATTCTATAAAGCAAGGTAACCTCCTTCCAATACTAGCAGAATTATGGAGGCTTACTCTCCAAAGCTGAACCAAACAAGCAAAGCATATATTCTAGCCTGTACTGAAAAAAAGAGGGACAAATGTGCACATGCTGAAAAATGATCCTGCCAGCCCACTTACTCTACTTAGTTCCCAAAACATGAGTGTACAGGCTGATGCCTTCTAAAAAAAAAAAAAAAAAAAAAAAAGGTGAGAGAACTCTTTAGAAAATTGCTCAATATGAGAGAAAGGAATAATCATACTGGGCTATGCCCTAATGGAACTGCTTGATCTCTGTCTTATTGCCTAACAAAGATCATCAAAAGACACACTAGTTATGAAGCCCTTTCTTTTTCATATTTGACTCTTTAGTATGAATGACTGAGGATTTCCAGATAGTTAAGGCAAAAGCCTTCTATGTAAACGGAGTCAGAAGCAAAAGAAATACAAGAAACAGAATAAAATATTTCAAAATGTATGACTAAGGGAGGAGATTGGAGGTAATTAGGCAAGAGAGTACTATTTTTTATTTTAAGCCTATATAGTACTATCAAGTTTTAAAAAAAGAAAAGGTTTGGGGATATTTTAAGGATACTTTAATTATCATGATCCTAGAGGAGAAAGCAATTAGACTACACCAACTTCTAAGTGTTTTGAGTTTCCTAGTTAGCTAATATATTAATACTACTAAGAGATTACAAACATACCTGCTTCAAGATATTTTTTTAATGACTCTTCGAGTGGAGGAACAGGCAGTGATGGAAGAGAATCCTGGTACTGAAATGTTCGCTCTTCAGTTGATTTAGCCAATTGATTTTCCATGATAATCACAATAGGAAAACTAAAGAAACAAAGCCCTTACAACTTCAAGATTATAAATAGGCTTATATATGCTACATCCAATTCACTACATCGATATTTGGGGATCACAATATATCCAGGACTTGGTCTCAGTTCTAAGAAAATCATAAATGTGTCAGAAAAAGGCATCAATTTAAAAAGAAAAGCATGTAGACATTAAGTGCTACAAGTCAAAAAGCAATCAATGGGACCAGTATAGTTATAATTTATTGACACCTACAATTTGCTAAATACTATGGTAGGTATTAAATGTATTTATCTTCCTAATCTTCATCTTTTCTTGGAAAGCTGTAAATCAGTGCCATTTTACATTAGAAGAAACCAAAGTTCAGATTTTGCAACTTATCTGCGGTCAAATCAACTCATCCAGGTCATAATTTTCTCTCTATAGAATGAGCTACCTGCTGAAGGGTTAGTCACCTGCGGAAACCTAACTGGGCAGGCAGGAATTACATTTGTGAAAAAGAGTATTGGACTGAAAGAACTTTAAAAGAATAAAATATCAAGAGGTATGAGTCATCAAGCTACAGTCACAAAATATTACAGAATACATAAATCACAAGACAAGCTATTGTAACCTAACTGTTCAGATAGCATGTGGCTATATGATTTCTCAACTATGTCTTTATAAATTAAATTACATACTAAAAGACCAGTTCATAAATCAAGAAACTTTAACAGTAAACAAGAATTTTCAGTCTTTTAAAATATGAATTTTTCAAACTAATAGCAAAATCCAACAAAATACAGATAGTTTACACAATAAAAGATGATCAAAAACAAGGGTGCCACAGAGACTATTTTCAGCCAATGTGAAGTTTCTACTTCTTAACAGAATCCTAAGTTGGACCTGGCTATACAGTCATAGGCTGTATCTTTCCTATGCTTACTCGAAGTCTCCAGTACAGCTTTGTGATATATGTGTAAACTGTGGCCTTCTGTGTATAAAGGCTACCTGTGTTCTCCCCATGCTGTCTTTTTTTAATACTTACCTAAGCAATGGTACCAACTGGAACAGCACCTTGGACCAATTTATAGTAGCTATGTATAAAGTTGTCAGATTCTTCCTACTACTCCTAGACTGCTCCCTCTAAATATATTGGAAACACACACACAACAACCAACAAACATATTTGTGCCACTGTATTTTGATTTCTCTTATTTAGGGTTTGCTTAGCCTAAAGAGATAATCCAAAAATGAGGTCTAACCAAGAATTCATTGTTCCTGTTTCTTCATATCTCACAAACATGGCTTCAGATCTCATAGAAAGGTAAAGCTGGGTCCATATGCCAACTTCTACCCAAACGCCCTAGGCAACTAATTTTAAATGAATTATCTTATATAGAGAGAAGATAACCATAAAATTAGAGTTGTTATTATCCTTAGTGCCTACAAAAGCACATTATAAAACAAAGTAACCTAGTTTGAGATGACCATATTATGCAAAGCATAATGAATGGCACCATGATTCTACTTTTTTGAATCCCCAGAACCTGTGACTCTGAGATGACTACTTCAGTGATAGTTCTATATTTTTTGCATAGCACAATTTACCTTAAATTCAATAATTTAATGTTCCTGGAGACAGATTCCTCCCCCAAACCTCCAGACCCACCTATCAAATGCTTTATTCCAGTTTTTTAAACTCCTAAGCAGAGTACCCAAATATGTCTACCAAAACTTCAAAACTATAAAAGTTGTGAGATGCTAGTTTTATTTTCAACTGTTAAAGTTTGCAACAGATTGCTATAGAAATAATAGTACTCTAATAAATATATATTGAAAAGATAAGCCATTCTCTCTGTACTTCCTTGATACTCATAGACTCTAGAAGGGGTCAAGACTGCAAATTTCATGCCCACTACAATCTTAACTCATCAAGGGAACACATTAAAAATGTAAATTTTTCATGAAGAATTACCTGTTTTGAGTACTCAACCACCAAGACTATTAAATAATATTATTTTAAGAAGTATATACACCTTCAGAAGAAAATGGTGACTGGGTTTAATTACAGTGATTTTTCTGGGGGCAGTAAGATGCAAACTCAAAGTGGAACAGAGAATCAACATAAATAAAAGAATAGATGATCACATACCAGAACCCTCAGGCAAACAGTTTAGCACTGGAAGGAGACTGTTTCAACAAAATTCCGTTTTGAGCTCAATGAGTTTTCAACTAGATTAGTGACTGTGGGAAGGAAAAAAACAAGTTTAACTCTGCAGCAAAAAACAAAACATATAAAAACTGCTGAAAGGATATTAAAAATAGACAATCAAGGGCTTGACAGCTAAACTTTTCGAAATCACAACACTTCCAAAAAGTACATCAGCTAAAAGCTGGAGAAAAACTACTTCAGGATTAACCAAATATAACCTTCCATTAGAGAAGGAGATACAGTGTACTTCCCGCTGCCAGGGTATCTGTGCCAGCAGTTTGTGGCAGGGTAACATATACGAGTGCTTGGCTATAGAGGCTAGAGGAGCAGAGGGCGACCAGAGGTCGGAAAGAAGTCCTGCCTCCAACCAATCCATAGGCAGCTCTGTTCACTCGAGAGGCCAGTAAGTGAGAAAACCCAGCTATGTACCAAAAGGGACTAGCCCAGCGGCCCAACCTCGGTGGCACCTTTCCAATCCGGGCCGGGAGTTTCCTGATGACAACGGCCGAGCCCTGGTTCTTCCACCGTTCTACTACTTAATTCTGTTCTACCAATTTAACTTGCCCTAGTCCCAGAGCCTGAGGACTAGGAGACCCAAGCAGCTCTACCCAAGCAGGAGGGCCTGAATGTCCTCACCGCCCGAGCTTCACCAACTCTGCGACAGCGACAGTCGCCCCGACCCGCTTCCTTAGGGCGGCGGAGGAGCAGGAATTGGACAGCAAGGCGAGGAGTCCCGCCCCGCGGCCACGGGGGCGCGGGGATTGGACCGAAAACCACGAGGGTCCCGCCCCACGCTGGCAGCCTCGGACCAACAGGGCCTGCGCGCTAGTGGGGCCGGGCCCGCCTTTCGTGGGCGTGCGCGCTGCGCGCCTCAGGCTTGCCCACGGCTGGGTGGTCCAAGCCGCGAGAGGTATCAGTTTAAGGCTGCGTTGGAAGCACAGTGCTCCTGGCCCAGGACACGGCGGCCCCGCGGCAAGCCGGGGACTCCGAGCTGGTGTGCGCTTCGCCCACGCAGGTACCCAACCTTCTGGGGGCTGCTGCAGAAACAGCCCAGAGCCATTTTCACCCAATTCCGCCGAGACTCGGCGACTTGTTTCCCGTGTTCTTCCAGTCGAAGCTCTGGCTTATCAGCAGCTACACTCCCTTCCCAATGTGACGTTTACTGCACACAACCCCTTACCTCTCCAACCCCCTCATGTACTAACCCCTTAAAGGAATTTTATTGTTCACCCTATGTCCTGACAAGAGATCAGTAACCGCACAGGTTCTACCTGGTCTCTTTTTCCCTTCAACCTCTGAGGCTGAAATTTGCCCAAGGTAGGGTGTAGGACTCTACCTAACCTTCTACAGGAAGCCCCCAGTGATACACCGCAAGCTTGGGGTTGATCTGCTATCTTTTACTGTCACAAGAAGAAATGGAATTGTTAACTGGAGAGAGATAGACGAGTTATAGAGGAAACACAGTCAACTTAGTTTCGTAGACTAACCTATTTTCATTTACCTCAGGAAATAAAATAATACTCCCCCCCCCTTTTTTTTTTTTTTCATTTTAAATACACTGACCAATTTTTTGGGAGAAAAGGTCATAATTTACACTGGTCCTGAACTTGATAGCAAATATAAAGAACTAGATTTAAAATTATGTCATTATATCAAAACACACACACATCATTATAGGTCCCAATCCTTTATCTATCTTCTCTAACACAGTGGCAAAATGTGACCTGACTGGAATTGAGGAGGCATGTTACTGAATATTTATTTGGTGGAAATAGTCGTAAGTTTTCTACAGAAATGTGTGTTTGAATAAATACAGTGCTGCTCTAGCCTTCGCCTAATACATATGGCAGCCCCCACTTTTCTGAGAAAAGTCATCTATTTTGAAACATATTTGGCAAATGAGGTATCAGCTAAGGGATTGTAAACTAGTAATTTCTGAAGATACAATCATTTTTTTCTTTTAGTGTGTAAGTGCTGTGTTGTGGATAATGCCAAAATCGGACTACAAGAAGTGTTTTAAAACAGAACAATAGAAAAGCTATCATTCAGTAATAAACACCTAATGTTGTATGGTATGAAATACCCTCTGTACTGTCTAAGAAACATTAAGATTTCTACAAAGTTGTAATAATAAAAACGCTACTTTGCCCCTCTTGTGAATTTTGGCACCTCTTAAAAACGTTTGCCTGTTGGTGACATAGAAATTTAGGTCCCCTACCTTCACTATCTTTCTGCTAATCTTGGTATGTATTTAAAAGGAAACAAGATATTTCTGCAAAAATTCCTGGGTTCTTGGAAAGAGAAAAGATTATGAGACTGAATGAAAATAAGTGGAACAAAGACCTGACTATGCAAAGGATAAAAGGTAATCTTTTAAAATATAATAAGAAGATGTATGGATGATCCCCAGAAGTGTGTAATTTATTTTTCATCAAAATGCATAATAGGTGTTCAAGTAAGTTCAATATAAATATATATTAATACTAAGTTTTTAATGTATATACTGCATAATATTCATGATAGTGGGTATCTGGTGACTTCTCAAATAAATAGCTTCCACCAAGAAATTAGAGAAATGATGTATGTGTCTATGTATGTGTATGTATATGTTTGTGTGTGTGTGTGTGTGTGTGTGTGTATCTCCTCCATGGAAAACCAGTTTTATTTAGTGTAGTTTTAATTCTAGTTTACAAAAAAAAAAATACTGTAATCAGCCTTCTAATGAATAATCATTTGAGGTTAATCAATAAACCATTTGCTACTAGGTCAATTATTTTATCAAGACTCTTACTTTGAAAATCAGCTGAGAAAATGGTTATCCTCTATGGAATTGTGGATGATTTGCCTGATTATGTTTTTCATGCCTGATAACATTTGAATCTTTTTTCACTTGTTATTCCATGTTTTTATAACTAGCAATATAAAATGTACCACTAACAATGGAAAAATTTTCAGTTTATCAGTCAGTATTCAGTTCTTAGAATAAAATGTTAGATTTTGAGTATGACCTGCAGATTGTCCCCTTTATAAGTACTGGATATCGTCTTCTAACTTATTTTCCATTTTAGATTATGCTTCATATTCTTATGTATGTCTTAAAATGCTCTTTGTCAATTCAAAAACAGATGTACATTTTCTCTGAAGTATACTGAAGGTGTTACATTATTTAAAATACTTGTAGGTATTTAACCATCATCCTGCCTTTTTCAAAAGCCTTATGTTTCCAAGGAAGAGGCTATAAAATCAAACAGAGAATTCCACTATGAGTTTATACAAAAGGGAAAGTGTCATCTTATTCTGTGCCATTTCATCCTGTCACCTTTAACAATTTGCAACTGCTCTAAGCTTCCGCTTCTTGCTTGTTTTGTTTTGGCTATTACACTTATGACTAAGATTAAATTCTAACACTTAAAATGACTGAGTACTTTTGGAAGGTCTTTTTTTTTTTTTTTAAGATTTATTTATTTATGCATGCAGAATTAGGGTACAAGCCAGAGATACAGGGGTGGTGAGAGAATTCACCAGAGAGAGACTGGGGAACAGAACAGGCAAACTGATGAAGCATACTGCTGAGGGGAGCAGTGGGCAGGCCAGGGGAGGTCTGCCAAGCCATGTGGCAGGGATCAAACTTGTGTTGAAGCAGCTGCCACTACCTTTATAGTGCTGTGCTTTACCCGTTGTGCCACCAGGGAGGGCCAGGAAGGTCGTTTGATAAAGATGTCAGCCATTAGGTGAGATGAAGTTACTCCTTATGTCACAAATTGTTAAGATTATGGAACTTAAAAGTAAAATTTTCCTCAGTACCTATGAAGACAGTATTTATAGTGATCTGAAATGTATGGTCTGAAATACCCTCTGTAATATCTGAGAGATGAAATTGTGTTCTACAAAGTCTGAGAGTCATGCATTACATGCATTACTTAGTTTTACATTCGACCATCATATTACAGTGCAGGGATAATGATTAAACTGCTATTCGTAATATCTGGAAGATGAAGTTCATCTATACATAGTAAAATATAAAGACTTGGGACATGAAAGCTATGCAAATAAGATTTCAATTATAGGGGAGTAATTTGATGTAAACCTTTTGTTTTATTCTCCAGTCACTGGCTACTTTGCTAACACAAGCTCATGAGGTTACTGTGCTTCTTTGAAAAGATAACATCATTCCTTAGAGTCAGGTGGAGTCATCTATTTTTCTTTGAAACTTCTAACAATCACCAATTGCCCTTCCACTTATATTCCATACCTGCCTTTACTTTAGTTCTATCCATTAAGTATCTTTAAAGTGTCTCATCTCAGCTAGCATATTTGTGGTTTCCTTTAATTATTTTTTTATTTTTTTGTTTTGGTCACCTCTAACCACACCACTTCACATGAACCTCAAGCTCATTGGACACACATCAAGTGTAGCTAGGTCCCCTCTAAGGTGGCTTAAACCAGAAAGAAAAATACTGATGGTCTCACTCTTAGGAAAAATATAGAAGATCCAAATAAGGGATCAGGAAAAAAAAAAGAATAATTATAATAAAGTAAATATCAAAATCAACAGACAACTATAAAATAAAGACATTTTGCAGGGAGTGAGAAGGGAATAGGAAGGAACACAACAGAAGTGGGAAGAGGGACTATGGTGATGGTACACAGGTGAATTGTTGGTGGAAAATTTATGGATGAGAAAGCACACATTGTACAAAAATGAAAAATGATGCAAAAAATAAAATTAAAGAGAAAAAGTGGCTCAAAATCAGTATGTTGACAATTCAGTGGTCTTGAAACTTTCAGAAGACATGTTAAATAAGCATTTGGATCTGCAAACCTAGAGCTTAGAAAAGATTTTGTTAAATTATATCTTATGTTCTTCATTGTAGTGACTCATTGTGCCCTGGGGTACTGAATTATCAACCTTAGTTCAATTATCTACTTTAGTGACAAACCTAAATTTTCAAAAGTCATCAAAAGAAATTTTTAATCAAACTATGTGGAAATGATATTACTGAATGCAAATTTATCCTGGCAACAAAAAATCTAGCCATAAATGGGCCTAAATAGCACCATTGGGTACTGTCTCAGCACATTCTTAAACAGTAATTCTCAAAAGACAGTGATTTTGAGACATCTCATGATCTCTTAAAATGGGACATATGAAAAGAATTTGATTATCACAACGGTAAAGGAAAATGTTACTGACATTTACTGTGTATGATGCTAAACATCCCACATAGGACAGCACCCTAAAAGAAAGAATTATGCAGTCCCAATGTCAGAACTGCTAAAGTTGAAAAACCCTTGTTTAGTTAGATGTGTGAGAAGAATAAGGTTAAATCATGCCATTTGGCTTCCAGCTCAAAGTGATTTGGGGTGGGACTCATCCTGAGGGCTCAGACATACCAGTCAAACAGTATATTCTATGAATATATTCTAATTCATTGTCACCAGTGTCTATTCAGTCTGGAAATCAAATTCTTGTTTCTCATTGATGGAAATTCCAATTTGGATAATTTTCATTGTATGGAAAATAAAGTGAATACTTAATCAGTGATTAATGTTTTATTAATTTTGGGAATCTGCTTTATTTACATCTCCAGTTCTTTTGGCTTACTTACGTGCCCCTAAGAGAAATACATTACAGCTTCCATCACTAGTCTTTGAATACCAATAAAGTAAAAGTTTCCTTGAAGAACCCCCTAATCAGTATTTATTTAGCATCTACCAAATCACTAACATTCTGAAAGGAACAATAGAGGATTAAAAAAAAAAAAAAACCCTATCTCTTAGTTTAGTTTTTTTCACTCTGAAAGTGATAATGGTTTGTGCAAAAGACAGTGAGCGTCATGTATTGATGTGTACAGAGATGATTAGATACTGCTAACTGCTAACTGATGAAGATTTTTCAGTTATACAAGGTGGAAAGTGGATGGAAAGAGGAATGTGGAGAGGAACTGAATTTTTTTTTTAAAGATTTATTTATTTATTCATACAGAACTGGGGTACAGGCCAGAGATGCGGAGGGTGAGAGGATTCACCAGAGACAAGAGTGGGAAGCAGAACAGGCAGATCGACGAAGTACACTGCTGAGGGGAACAGCCGGCAGGTCAGGAGAGGTCTGCCCCGCCTTGTGGTCACCTCCAGGGTGGGTGGGGATCTAACTCATGTGGAAGTGGCTTAAGCTTCTTTGTGCTGTGCTTTAACCCGCTGTGCCACAGGGAGGGCCGGAACTGAAATTTTTAAAGGTGAAACACAGCTTCTCCATTTTTAAAACAAACGGCTACATCCCCCCTCACTGTCATTAGGACCTAGAAGGAAGATTTCCTTCAGCTCTTTCTGCTACAGCACACTGTTTCTTAAGATTCTCTTGGTGTAGAAAACTATTGTGGATATATAAGCTAGAAAGTGCTGTGGAGCCAGGGATAAACTGTGAAAACATAGACACAACGAAGAATATTTTTCAAGAAGGAATTCATTACTGAAGGGAAAAAAATAAAAAACTTGCTGCTAGGAAGCACCCCTAGGGGCCCCATTATTGTTATAATTCCTGCATTCAAGACACCTTAAAAGTACAGAAGTCCTTCTTTATCAGCTGGGCATCCTTGCAGGAAATGTTATGAAAGTTCCTTATAAGAAGTGTTAAGAAAATTAATTGAAAGATAACTGGTTTCCAATTCATTAGTACTACATATTCAGAAGTCAGACAAGTTGGATAGCAATAATAGGGATTTATGATAAAGACAAACTAAGGGTCTTCTTAGAAGTAGCTGCTCCAGTATGTTTAAAAGAGCGTTCTCTTGAGTAATATTTTTAGTTTATGGTATATGCATTTCCATATTACTTTTTAGGAAAATGAAAAGCAATAAAAGGTAACTTTTTCTACCCGTATGGTGAAAGTAAGTATTAGGAAGAGATGCTATGAATTTGATGCTTCTTTTTATTACTTTATCCAAAATAGTTTTGAGAAAACATTTGACTTAATAAGGCTAAAAGAACATGAGAGTACTTCCATAATAATAACTTTTGTGTGTGTGAAATATCTGGCAACTTGAAGTTTTATGGCAAAACTTCAAATGAGTCACTCTTAGGTTAATACAAACAAAATTGTCCTAAAGTAATAAGATTAAGGGTACTTTAACATCTTTAAAGAACCCTAAAGTTGCTCTATCATAGTATTGTGTATATACAGTAGTCATCAACTTTTACTCAACATTGTATTCTTGCTTTATTAGGCAAATTCATGTAAGATATTGAAAATATCTCACTATCCTGCCTCTGGGTTGTGAGGACTATCTTGGTAGACAAAGTCACTTAGACTTTAGATCTGTCATTTCTCCTGATAGAATTATCCAGATGAGACTACAATAATCTTGA